CCGGCCCCGCGCCGCCGCCTCCGCGCCCCTAATGAAGGGCCGCCAGCTCCTCCCCGCCCGGCCCGCGGGCACCTGCCGGGGGCGGGAGCCGGGACGGCTCTGCCTTCGCCCCTGGCCGGCGACGGGGGGAGGAATCGCCCAGGGGAGCTGCTCCCTCCAGGAGCCGGCGCGGTTGCCCCTTGCTGCCTTGAGCTGCGCGCTGCACCCCTTGAAGCGGGAACCGGCCACTGCCGGGCTAGATCTGTACTGGGCAGAGGATGGAGCTGGGATACTAAGTTTCCTCCTTGGCAGGTCCCAGCCCTGCTCTGCCGGACCCTGGCACAGCTCAGACCGGAAGGAGAAGCTCTGGCTTAGCCAAAGCTCCTCCAGCTGCACCCTGACTCCAGAGCCGGGATACCCCTGAGAAGCCCTTGCCTCCCCCAGGACCACCGTGGCTACAAGATTGCTCTCGCGCTAAGACAGCAGCGCGCTCGCTGCACGGGGGTGCCGGAGGAGTTTAGGCAGACCGGGCTCTTTGGGTCAATCTTTTATGCAGCCAACTCTTCCTGGCGAGCGTTTGGGTGTAAAACCCCTGGAGGGTACAGCTGCAGCGGGTGCGTGCACTCTTCCTGGCTCACCAGTACTTTTGGGGGCCCTGGTTTACCAGGGTTTCCAACTGAAGGGACCAGACCCCCGACCTCCCCAGACCGGGGGGTGCAGCGGGCTGCATTTCACGTGGCCAGCTTTGAAAATGAGAGGTGGGCTGCCGCGTCCAGCTGCTGCAGGACGATCGAAATCACCCTGGCGCAGCCACGCTGTTCGGTGTCCAGTCTGCAGCCGCCTCCTGGGAGTTTCCCAGGAATGAGCAACAAATCAAGGAACTGCAGCTCCTCCGTCTTCGGGGCCATGCTGCCGATGGTAAATTGTAGGAAACAACGGGTAGGAGACTCTCTCCACCGAAGTGTTAGGCGTCCCATCACTACGGGTTTTTAAAACGACTTAAGGAGGGGTGGGAGGGTGGGGGTTTAGCGGGTAACCTGGTCGGTCCTTTCTAGCTCCATCACTCGTGCAAAATAAGACCCGTGTTGACCAGGATTGCCCCGGTTGGTGGCTCTCTTACTCGAGACGCCAAAATACCTGGCTGCAGCCACCAGGCCCGGCACATTTGGTGACCTATTCATGTCCAAAGTCACGGAGCCCACAAATCCAATCTTCTGTTTCTGGCAGTGATAACCAGCTGGGTGCCAGCTGCAGCCTCGGCAAAGCCCCAGTTGAAATCTCTATAAAAGCAGGATTTCTTGAGGGACACGTGTTTTGCAGGGAGCTGTGTCAGTGCCAGGGATGTCGCCTGTTGTTTCCAAGATTGTATCGAGCAAGTGAAACCGAAGGCTGGATGGTTCGTATTTATTTTGGATGTGTGCAAATCCATCTGCTTTCCCTGGGGTAGATGAAGGCATATTCTCCGGGGGGCACGGCTGAGGTTTGAATTGCCCGCAGAGATCTGCAACAAGGCAAAGCACTCGGCGTTGCCATACGCTGGCATCTATGCAGAACCTGCCCCAAAGGCAGTTGGGGGCTTTTGAAGGTAATTCCAGGAACATTGTCTTTCCTGGGCCCTAATAAGCAATCTTTGAAACCTGCATTCGTCAGTAGAGAAAAAAAAATGCATTTTCATCCTGTCTCGCTAAACCAGGGGCGGGCAATTATTTTGGGCGGAGGGCCGCTTACTGAGTCTTGGCAAGCCATCGAGGGCCACGACAGGCAGCCCAGGGCAGATGTATATTAATTTTCTACATTTTTTAGGGGCCCCCCAGGCTGGATAGAATGGCTTGGTGGGCCGCATCCGGCCCCTGGGCCACATTTTGCCCACCCCTGCGCTAAACGAAGCTGGTCCCAGTGTCCAATTTTGCTGATGCCCAGAGAAAAAGCTGTTTCCTCAACTCCTCTCGTTGGAACAGCGCTGCTCATCTGTGCTGGAGGTGGGGCCAGGATCCGGCAGCGGGAGCAAGCCCCCGTGCTGCCAACCCGGGATTTGGGTTGCATTGCATGAAGGCAGTGTAAGCTCTGTTCTCCTGAATGTTAGGAAGTTCAGGAGGTCAATTTTCCAGTGCAGGGCAATAGAAGATAGATAAGCCATGTATTTCAGAGCAGGAGATGCCAGCTTTGGTTGTGGACCCCAGGCCGCACAACCAGAAAGTCAAAGCCGAAGTTCTGTTTTTCCCCGTCTCCCATTGCAACGCAGGATCCACTCTGGAGAGCCGGTGGTCTTTGCTTTCAGAGACTCCTAGAGCAGGGGTGGGCAAAATGTGGCCTAAAAAATTTAGAAAATTAATATTAATCTGTCCTGGCTGCCTGTTGTGTGGCCCTCGATGGCTTGCTGAAACTCAGTAAGTGGCCCTCCGCCCGAAATAATTGCCCGCCCTGTCCTAGAGACATGGCACTGGTGGTGCACTCAAAAGGATCTGCTCACGGCCAGATCCTCCTTTTCTAAACCGCTGCAGACAGATTTTTAAATAAATAACTGTATGCCAGGCACACAAATCCCATAACCTCTCTGGGAATCTGTCCTAGTCTCATCCTTAGAAAGTTCTTCCTAATATCGCACCTCAATCTCCACTGCTGCAATTTAATTTTTTCAGTTTAAAATGATCCTTCGGTGTTTCCCATTATATTTAATGATCATCCGCCTGTTTGCTACCTTCCTAGATTTATTTATGGAAAATCACTCTACTGGCTTGAAAAATGCAAGGACCAAAAAAAAAAATAATAATAATTTGGAGGCAGAGAACTCAGTTGGTGGACTGCCTCCCCACGGGCTCCTCACCATTGCTTGGCAGCTTTCAGTGCGGGGTGCAATGAGCCTGGCTGAGCCGTATGTGAATGTCTGCAACAAAAGTCCAGGCCCAGGACTGAAGGGCGCAGGAACTGAAGAACGCATTTGAGCGCGCTGCAACGATGCGAGAAAGGTGGTGAGGAAGGGAAGCGTGCATCTCCAAAACAGGGGTACATGTTGCTACATGAGACTTTTTAATGATATAATTGTGACCATATTTTTGAGACAAAAGAACATCAAAACTG